ATGGGAGTAAATCACCAGGTCTTTTCTACCACAGAGCTGCTGGATGGGTTCAAACCACGACCTTTCGGTTAGAGATTTTTGTTGGATTGTGTTGCTTTGATTTTAAAGGGAGGGAAGGAATGGTTAGGTTGAAAAGCAGAGGTTAGTGGTGAAAGACAAAACTTTTGTATGCTTTGTCCAATGACTGCAAGAAAAGAAGTGTATCAAAAAGATGTCTTGCATCATGGCCTGAGCATGAGAGTAAAGGATGTGGATCTCAAAGGATAATGCAAATTTCCATACAAGAGGGGATCTGACCTGACAAACCACACGGCCTGTGGAGATGGGCTGATGTTTTTCCCCTTTCTGGCTTTGGGTACAGCATGGAGATTTCTGGCTTAGATTCCTAAAAGCTCAAACTCTGACAGCAAAAGTGTCTTAGAACCATCTTCTTGGTAAACAAACTAATAGAAAATAAAGGTTTTTCTCAGTATGGAATTTAACATAATGAAAAATAATTAGCTTCATTTTAAAATGAGAGTTTCCTCCTGATAAATTCAGAGAGTTTCTCATATAAAGAAACAACATTTCTATGAAGTCAGGTATTGGAATCCCTATTACAGAGGGGAGGAGACAGAAATACTTTGTTCATTCATTTATTCTTTCATCCATTTATTCAACAGTGATACAAATATACAGGTTCTGATATTTCAGGTCATAAAACTCCAGAGTGCAAAAAAATTAATTTTTTAAAAATAATGGAAATTAGTCTCAATGCTGTGACCCTATTTTTCCTAAATTCAGAAAATTTAATTCAGTCAATTCTACATGCACTAGTGTTTCCCCCAAATCTCTCCTGTCCCAAAGTCACTTCTGGTTAAAATATAATCACTTTGGAATGATCTGCCTCCCTCTTGTTCTTCTGAGGGTAACCTCTAAGTATTTTTGTGCTGGGGGGAAGCAGGTGGCAAGGGGAGGTATCTGGTTCTGCAAACACCCCTTGCCTTTGGCCTCAGAGGCTGATGTTCACTTCCCATTGCTTTAGAGTCACTGATCCATGCACTGAGCTCCATCCTTCCTCGTTCTGACCTCTAGGCCCTTCAACCCTCTACAATCCTCTCTCAGCCCCTTTGAATGGTCTCTAGTGCCATAAACACTAAAGAGAAAACAGGCTTTGGGCATTCCTCTGACTCTTCATGCCCAGATTCTTCATGCTAATATGCTGATCTCTGCTGGTTTCCTGAGGGGAAACCCTAAGACCTTGGTGCTTTTCTGATCCCCCCTCCTCCTCCCTGGGAATAGAACTCAGATCCCTTCTGTCTTCAGATCTTCAAACTCATCTGGAGGTTCAATTATTTGTAGTCCCAAATTTTTTAAGCGAATTCCAGGGGCTATGGGGGGGAAGGCTCAAGGCCCTTCTGGGGTTATATATTAATAACTCTGGGATAAGAAAATTGATTCACTATTTACTGTTTGTGGTTTGTTGTTGTTAGGTGCCATTGAGTCCATTCCAGCTCATAGCAACCCTACATACAACAGAACAAAACACTGTCCATTCCTGCGCCATCCTCACAATCGTTGTTATGCTTGAGCCCATTGTTACAGCCACTGTGTCAATCCATCTCATTGAGGGTCTTCCTCTTTTTCATTGACCCTCTACTTTACCAAGCATGATGTCCTTCTCCAGGGACTGATCCCTCCTGATAACATGTCCAAAGTATGTGACACGAACTCTCACCATCCTTGCTTCTAAGGAGCATCCTGGCTGTACTTCTTCCAAAAGAGATTTGTTCATTCTTTTGGCAGTCCATGGTATATTCAATATTCTTTGCGAACACCGTAATTCAAAGGCATCGATTCTTCTGTTTGTGGTAGGTTGCATTATTGCTTATAATTAATCACCCCCCTTCCTGTAAAAAGATTATAATTCATGCCCATTGCTATGTGATTTGCCTATGAAAACAGTAGTCTTCCTTCCACTGACTTTGGATTTGGACATATGAAAGGCTTTGGCCAATGGAATGTGAGCGGAGATGTCATGCTGCATTGGAGAAGAAGCTTTTAGAGGCCTTGCAAGTTTCCACCAGCTGTTTGTTCTTCCCATCTGCCATGAGAATTGCCAAGTCCCATGTAGGGACTACTTCTTCAGCCTGAGTCCTGGAATGAGAAAACCCATGGAGCAGAACCTCAACTGACTCACAGCATTTAATACAAGCAAGAAATAAACCATTGTGGCTATAAGCCTTTGAGATTTTGGAGTTTTTTTTTTAATAACGAAATTGACTAATATGTTGTTTATGACATATTTTTTTCTTTTCTTAGCTCTTTAGGAGCTGAAACTCATGAAGTCCAGCTATTACAAATGAAAAGTCCTAACTTGTGAGACTTGTGTCACTGCTATGAGCTTTAAATGCCTATTAAACATATGAGAATTACCTCCTTTATCCCTGAGGCAGGGAAGGAAATGCTCTAACTGTAAGGCCAGGAGTAGAGTACAAAGAAGCGTGTGTGTGTATTATCCTGATATACAAAAATGTATAAAACAATGAAATATAAAATTTGAAAATTCCAAGACAGGCATCCTTCCTACATTCAAGCGGTTTAGAGGGCAAATTAGGTGTCTTAGTTTCTTAGTGCTGCTAAAACAGAAATACTACAAATGGGTGGCTTTAATGAACAGAAATTTATTCTCTCACAGTTAGGAGGCTAGAAGTCCAAATTCAGGGCGCTAACTCTAGGGGAAGGTGTTCTCTCTCTGTTGGCTCTTTCCATCTGCGGTTCCTCAGTTCCTTGGCAATCTCCATGTGGCATTAATCTTCCCTAGTTTGTCCTTGTTTGCTTCTGTGCCTAATGTGCTCCTCTCACATCTCAAAAGTAATTAGTTTAAGGCACACTGTACACTAATACGGCCTTACTAACATAACAAAGAAAACTCTATTCCCAGATGGGATTATATCCACAAGTACAGGCGCTATGATCATATTCACATGTGTGTTGTTGTTGTTGTTACGTGCCATAGAGTCTGTTTCGACTCATAGTGACCCTATAGGATGGAGCAGAACTGCCCGATAGGGTTTCCAAGGAGCAGTTGGTGGATTTGAACTGCAGACCTTTTGGTTAGTAGCCGAGCTCTTAGCCACTATGCCACCAGGGCTCCATCCACATGTATAGGGACTGCTATATCCACATATTTTGGGGAGACACAATTCAATCCATAACATTAGGTATATCTTTAAGTAACTATAGTATGAAGCAATAAGTCTTAATTGTGTCATCAAAGGGGCAGAGAAAGTGTGATGGGGGCTCATGGAAGAAGAGGCCTCAAAGGGTTTGGAAATGTAAGGAGTGGGGAGGAATGGCATTGCAAGTTCAAGATGGAGATTGAACAAAATCATGGAGGCAGGGAAGTGAGCAGCCTGGATGGGGTCCAGTGAATACACATGGCTGGCCGTGGTTCAATGTTTAGGGGACAGGTAGAAGGTCAGGTTGGAAAGGGCTGAGTGGTGGTGCTGGCTAAAGAGTGTGGACTGTGAAGTTCTGTGACTGGCTAAAGATGATACAGAAAAAGAAGTGGAAAGGGGATTTCAGCAACATTTAAAAAAAAAAATTGTGACCATTTAAAATTTTGACACATTAAACATGTGTACATAAACAGTTGGGAAAACAATTCAGAAAATTCTGTGTTTTCTACCTAGCCATGATGGATTTGTTTTTGTGTTGTTTGTTGACATGGAGACGGCTCCAACTCAAGGTGACCTAATGTATAACAGAAGGCAGTGTTGCCCGGTCCTGCGCCATCTTCATGATCGTTAGTATGTTTCAGTCCATTGTTGCAGCTATTATGTCAGTCCATCTTATGGAGAGTTTCTCTCCTTTTTACTGACCCTCTGCTTTACCAAACATGATGTCCTTTTCTAAAGATGGGTCTTTCTTAATGACGTATCCAAAGTAAGCAAGCCAAAGTCTTGCCATCCTTGCTTCTAAGGAGCGTTATGGATTACTCTGCTCAAATGGCCTGTCTGTACTAGTTGTGTGTGTGTGTGTTTTGCTCAATGATCACTGTATTTGTGAAATCATTTTTGGAAAACAGTCAGTATGGTTTGTTGGTGGTGGTATGACATGGGGTATTTCTCAGCCCAAGAAACAGCCTCAATCTCTTCCAGTAGTTGGCCTACTACTAAGGTAGCTTCTGCTATACTTAGATCTCCTTGGTATTTTAATTAATGATTAAAAAATAACCCAAAAATTTTCATACAGATGAATTTATAAACTAATAGAATTTTAGAGCTGGAATTTCCCCAGCTCATCTCTCAATGTCAACCCTAAAGATATTCAGGTTGATTATTAGAGGATGTGACGTTCTAGCTTTAGCTAGTTTACCTTTAGCGGGGTCTCTTCCTCGTCCGTCCTGTCTTGCAGGTGAGGCTCTGGGGGTCAGGAAAAAGTCTTCTCTATCTTCTCCCACTGTAGTGTAGACGAGAGGGCAGAGGTGCTTATGTATGGGATCTTGTGCGACGGGACACCACTGAAGAGGCAACTTTGCTCTTCTTCCTCCATTCTGGGCAGGGCATGGAAAGACGTGCAGTTTAAAGATCTGTCGCAGCAGTTTAAAGGATCCTGGATATTTTGGCTGTTCCACTCAGCCACCATAGCCGGCTACCAGCAAGCTGAGGGAGGGGTTGGAATGAAAAAGGTTTGGATCTCAAAGACTGGAGATGAAAGTTGCAAGAGGTTACCCAAGCTTCTACTATGGGCCAACTTTCCAGGGTACATGATGCCTTTACGTGCTGTCTGCCAGGACTGGCCGCGGTGCATCCTGCATTGGACTCGTGCCTTTGTTCCCCACCCCGGCCCGACACCCCTGCGCTCGTAGTCGCGACACCTGCTGGCTCACCACCCACCAGGGATGCAGAAGCCGCGGCCGCCGAGGGCCTGCTCCGCCAGCACATGCGCAGTGGTGACGCCTGCCCGGCGCCCAGTCTCCTCCTCCGCCGCCTCCAGGTTCTGCAGTCACTTCCTGCAGCTGTTTCCTTCTGTGTCCGGTTGGACTGACTTTTGACAGTCAGCTTCAGCTGTGGAGGGGCTCGGCGGAGGCCAGCCGAGAAAGTTGCGCCGAGGACTGGCGGAGTGGAGCCGGTCCAGCGGGCGCCTGCTGCGCCGGCATCCCGGGGACCGTGGGGCCGAGGCTCCGGGCGCGTGCCGGGGTTCCGGTGAGTGCGGGCGACGGGGAGCCTCAGGCGGTTGTGACCTGTATGGGAGCGGCGAGGACCGGCGGCTCCTTCTGGTGCTGCGGGTCTACCTGCCCTCCACGTGATGGGGTTGCGCTGCTTGGATTGATTTAAGCATTTCACGTGTACCATTTGGACGGTGTCTGCGTGCAGCTGCCTTGGCCCTCGCACTGCCCCCGCCCTGTGGGAGTCGGGGATTCCATCTTCCGTGATGGCATCCTTACGGGATTGAGGTGTGTGCGTGCGTATGTGTGTTTGTATGCACGCACACCTTAGGAATGTAGAGTCTATGTGGGCGATGCTGAAGTATATGTAGCACTGATTCAGATATGTAAGCCGTTCCGTAGGATTAGGAAACCAGCAGGGCTGGGATTGGCAAACATTCGCCAATTCATCAAGGCCTCCTCTCCCCCAGGTTCCTGCGTTCTTTCGGATTCTTCCTCATATGATAAACCTTGTCTCAGCTGATGCTTTTTTTCCCCCCCCTCATTTCTTTTCTCTGCGTTCTGACGACCTCTGAGTAATGCTCACAGCTTTTTCCTCATATCCAGAATTCCCAATTACAGTCTGAGGGGCCAGTAACCTGCTCCTTTATTCTGTTCTCTCTCCTTCAAATGAGAAAGTAATTGTCTTTAGTACAGTATGTGGAAGTAGGCCCCAGCCCAATCATGAAAACTAAGTATGATACTTAATTTTCTTTAAGCAGGGTACATAGTGAAGCTCTGGTTTTCCCCTCAATCTCTTGCAAACCAGAACGTTAACCATCGTAAATCTTTTATTTATGCCACTTCAAGCCTCAAATTGAATGGTTTTTTAAGATCTGAGGAATATTTATTTGCATCACCCTTCCAGTCAGTCTCTTCTAATTTGTGCAGCAGTTGAACGAATTGGAGTTGCATATGCCTTGAGTCTCTATTCTACCATTCCTGCATTCTTTGAAGGCTTGGTTTTATTTATTTTAGATTGATATTTTATGCTAAGCTTTGTTTGCAAGCTTCGTAATACCAAACGTAGTTGCCATATCTAGATCTTTTTTGAGTTGACATTATAATTTTGATTGTGAAATATACCAGAAGAAATCAATGTTGAATATCTGGCTATTCTCTAAAAATTATAAAGATAAAATAATTCAGCGGATCTTCTCACCTCTGGAAGGAGGCCTTTTGTACTTCTGTGCTTTGAGAAGGGCTTTTATTTTGATGAAAACCTATGGGCAACACTGGAGGAGACACATCCTGAATTTCCTCAAGTGAGAACGAGCTTTCAAAAAACAAGTTCAGACATGTCTAGGCAATTGGTAGCATTTGATTTTCTCTTTATATTGCCGGTAGCTTTTATCCAGATGTTTTGCCGTCTCCTTTACCTTCTCTTTTCTGAACTAATAGCACGTTTGGGGCAGTTTGGCATCTGTATAACCCAGTACAAGTGGCATGTGTGGCCTTTTAACATTATGAATTTATTATAATTAGATAGCTGAACTTTGTTTCCTCGGTTTCCCTTTTAAAACATCCACATCGGTCATCAGTCTTTGCTTTCTGCATGTGTTTGCTTGATTTTATTGAGAGGAATGATTGCAGAGAACCTGAATTTTTAAGTGTTCTAAATCTGTATTGCTTTACTTTATGTTCTCAGAGATATGGGCAACACACTTCTGCTTAAGAATGAAATGATATTACTGTTTTTCTAAATATTATGATCTATGAAAAGTATCATTAAATAGTATGACCAGTAATGGATGAGTTTTGCCCTGAACTACGTTATTTCCCCATTGCACAGATTTCCTCTGCTGCCCCCAGACCCTGAATTTAGTATAAAAGTTGTAACTTGATTGCAACTGCTGGGGACCTTGTACTTCTCAAATGTGGTAAAAGAGACTTTTAACTTTTTAAAATTTACCTGGTTTGTTTTAGTAAATCTATTATTGCTGTAAAACGTACACATTTCCGTTGCAAATGGAAAATTTCAGCTCAGTATTTTTGCAGCTTAAAATAGCCGTAGTCTGTTGATCAAGAAAAGAGGTTTTTAATAATGTTGAGAGAGTGGAGGGAATAGTGGATTTTGAAATAAGGATTTCAATTTGGGTTAATGAGAATCTTGGGAACTGGAAGTATGTACTGTGGTTCATTTTGAGATATCCTGGTTCGAATATGCCATCTCGGTGGGAGGCAGGAGAGATCATGCCTAAAGATTGGAGAGGGAGTAGAACATATTGGGTCTTTTCTGAGGGAAACAGAATAGGGGCGATCAGTTATTTAATAAGAAGGGGAAAGGAAATAACCTAATGACTGGGAAACTGAAATTATATTGGGACTAATGGTAGTGTGATCCATTAACATGTTAGATATTTACTTGATAATTTCGTGTGTGTGTGTGTGTGTGTGTGTGTGTGTGTGTGTGCAGATAATTTGCCTCTAGAGGGAGAGAAAATATTTTTATTTTACAGGGGACTCATAAATACTGTCTAAGGCTATATGATGTGGAGTCCTAAAATCAAGGGCCTGCAGGGAGCAGGCTGAGTAGGGACCGAGGTGACCTGGAGAAGGCAGTCCTGGCTACAACAGACTGTCCCTCTCAGCGCTACCTAATTGTTTTCCATGTAGGAACATGGGTCAAGTGTTGTCAGATTGTCTCTTTATCAAGAGAAGCCAGGAATCTCTCCGTTTTAATATTGATAACAAGTTCAATTTAAAAATGAAAGCAAACCAGAACACTGTATATTGAACACTGTATATTCCAAACAGCATATCTGTGGCTGTGTGTGGCCTGTAGGCCGTCTGTTTGCCATCTCCGCTGTAAGGAGCCATTGGCTCAACTATTTAAATATTATTACTTGATCAGAAGGAACATTTTTATTTATTTCTGTCATATTTTAACTCTGGGTTAGTTATTCCTAGAGTTTCTTGATATTTTAGATAGTTCTAGAATTGTTTTAAGGATTCTCAGTGATGATACTCTTTATTTCACTCTTTTTGATATAGTTGGTATGGAAAGTCTAGTTTGGATGGAAAGGAGATATTTGCTAAGGTTCTTAGCTGATGTTGTTTTTGTCTGTGCATGATTGACATTAACAGTGTTTGAGTATAAGTGTGCCTGAGGGAAGAGGTCTGGACTAGGTGACCTTTGATGTCCATTTTAGCCATGTGACTTTTAGATTTAATTAGCCATGGATGCAAAGCTATTAATGTTCATGGGCCAGAGGGGCAGCAGTTGGAGCTGGGCCAAGCAAAATAAAACTAAATCTATAAAGCTATTCTCAATGGAAGGGCAGTTATGTCAATGTGGACTAAGAAACAGGGAAAGTCTGTTAGATGAGGCAGAAGGGAAGAAAGTCCTAAAGATGGGTTTGGAGAAAGAAAAGAAGGGGTCAGATGATGTGGTCATTTACATGTTGTACTGCTAAGTCTGTGAGGTCACATTTTTAAGTGAATATTCTTTTGCTGTTGATTCAGATCTAAAGCCCAGACTTGTCATCATCCACTGGATTATGCCCAACGCTTTTCTACCCAATGATCCTCTTGCAACACGCCGGGCTTCCTCCACCTAAGCGGCCCTCATCCTCTCCTCCTATGTCAGTTGCCACCAGGTCTACAGGAACCTTGCAGCTTCCGCCACAGAAGCCTTTTGGGCAGGAGGCTTCCTTGCCTCTGGCAGGGGAAGAAGAGTTACCTAAGGGAGGGGAGCAAGACTCTGCCCTGGAGGAGCTGTGTAAGCCCCTGTACTGCAAGCTCTGCAATGTCACCTTGAACTCAGCGCAGCAAGCCCAGGCTCATTATCAGGTAAGGGAAGAAAAGAAAATCAAGCATTTAATGGAAAGACATTTCAGGGCAGTGCCCGTTTAGGAATTGTCTCTCCAGGTCAGACCAGTTGTGCCTGGAATAATCAAGATGGCTTAGTGAACAACTGAGTATTCATTTGCTTGACTGAAAGCTTAATGTTCCTACTTTAAAAGAAGCCATCACTTTTTATGGAATGGGGTGTCAAATAATTTCCTACACTTGGCTGTGTGGCATCTGATAGCTTACTATTCTCTGTAGACAAATATGAATCATCTATGCTGGTGTTCGAACCTGTGATCCCAAGAATAAATATTTGAAACATGATGTACCAAACTCAATTCAGTGTCAAAATTATTCAGAAGAATTAGTCTTACATACATTACTTTCCAGCTATACAATTTGCGTCAATTCAAGGTTATCCCTGTGCATCAATTTTACGCTTTCCCTTTTTGACCTCTGTGTCTTTCTGTATATCCTGTCATTGCTAAAGAGAACACAGGTTTCTTTCTATAGTGAGAGTAAAATGACATTGGAGTATTGAACCCTCGCCCTATTCATAATAAGTGGACTCTGATTTCCTTTAGCCCATTAGTGTGTGCTGATACTTATTTTTAAGATTTAAAGCTTTCACCTCCATGTAGAACGGCCAGTGGAAAGGATAATTTTAAAGAGTATTATCACCTAAGAACGAAGGGAAATTTTGGCCAGAAAGAGAGGGTACAGTATCTCTTTTTATTCTAGATTGTTGTCTGTATAAAATTACATATGCAGTTTCTGTTTTGGAGAAAAGAGGTCTGAGAAGGAATAGAGATCAAATCCTACTGAATGAAGGGATGCCTTCTGGGCCATCATTGATTTGACTGTCTGTCCTCTGCTTGAGTATTTCCAGGGGTGAGACACCCTATGCCAGTGTGGTAGAAAGCTGACTGTTAGAAAGTTATTTCTTTTAATGTGTTACTATAACACTCTCCAACTTAAACAACTTTTATTTACTTTGAATGTAAGTTTTCCCCTCCCCCATACCAAAGACTGGTAATTGTATTACTTTGTGGCTATGCATCAGAAGTGTTTTGATGATGAATTGAGATCTCTGGGATTTAGGGGAAAACATAATATGTTGCTGCCTTGAGTTCCCTTTGGTTTTGTTTTTCCCTGAGGTGCAGCAAGTTGAGTTAATTATATCCCTCTCATCTTGGCACATGTCATCATTGGTTCATCAAGGCTCCCCTTCTGGTTTTATTTTACCTTCTTCCATTTTTCCCAATCCCCATTCTCATTTTCTCCGCATACCCCTTCCCCTAACCGCAGTGGATTGCTATAAGGTCTTCCTTTGTCTGTCTGCCATTCACACGGAGTCTGTGAGGATGATAGCGTAACACTCACTTGGAAAAATCAAGCCTGGGTTCTAAATTTTTGAGTTTTAGCTGTATAAAGCCCATAGAAAATGATAAACTTGGGACCAAACCTGCTTGTGTGCCATACACGTACATAATTACCTTTTAAAAAAGAATTGCTTGCTTTTATGAGGGAATATTCTTGGGCAATGTGTAATTTAAATATGCTTGTGCATGGATTGTACTTATACCTTGTGCCTTTTTTTTTCCCAGTATCACTCTGTGGCTCTGTAGACAACGATGGATGCTTCTAGTTCTGCGTAGCGAGAATTCAGTTTGATACAAGGTCATTGGATGATAAGGCTAAACTGGATAAGAAACAGAATCCATGTTTATTTAGATTTTTTCATTTATTGTACATTTTTGTGTTTGCCCTAAACTTATGAGTTAAGATTAGTAATTCTATTTAATTCCAGCTCCCTCAGTGACACACTGAATAAGTAAATTAGAAAATATAAGAAGTGGGAAGTGAGATTTAGGTTGATTCCTCAATAATCAGATTTTTTAAGCAGTAAAGTTGGAGAAGGGCAGCCTGTTCTGATTTGCAGGAATTCTAGTCATAGGGGACAATTTAAGTAGCCAAAAACAAGGGTAAAATAAGGGAAAGAAGAAGAGGCAAGTGGGTATTAAGAAAGTAGAACCTAATGGTAAATGGAAAGTTTGGATATAATAAAGTGTGTTTCTAAGAGTTTAGAAGCTAAGATTTGAATGAGACTGATGAGGAAGAAGTTTCTTACAGAGAACCAAGGCAAAGCAGTTAATGTATAAAAATTACAGAGCCATTTCATTCAGGTAGCATAGAAGAGGGTTAATCTCCACAGGGAAATCTGGATTTCAACAAGATAGAAATAGTCAAGATGAGAGAGTCTATCAAAGAATAGATCAGAATAATAAATAATCAGAGCATGAACAATGACATAGAGGTGGGTGAACCAACAAAGCAAGAAAGCATGAAAACAATTAGCCTGAAAGATGTGTCAGAGCCTACACAGAGGGTTCATAAATAGGCAGTGATGAAAGAGGCTACTACAGTCAAAGATGACCAGTAAGGCCTACCCAGCACAAGGAATAGGCAGAATGACAATGACTGTAAACTAATGAAACGAAATGGTATAGGATTAAATGAGATGATGGGTTAAGTTTTATTTCAACTCTACAAACCTTTTTTGTAATTTTTAATACAGAGTAATACCAAAGCCCCAAATTCATTATTTCAGTATGTGTGAGGTAAAAGGAGTCACCGGTAGCCTGTTGATAAGCTATAAGTACATTCCTGTGAGATGGTAAATCACTGATTACATTACTCAAAACTTTTTAGTCAGTTGATGCCATTGTTGAAATCTCAGTGTTTCAAGTCACTGAGGGTATTGTAAACAACCATCGCTCCAGTTGGAGTAGCGTTACACTAGAGTCTGACTGTATCATGTTCCAGCAATCCAGGACACACAAGGAAACTGCTCAAAAATTCCTTCCCTTAACCTCACTACCACCTTTCCCTGATACCCCTGGTATTCCCAAGCTAGGTCGGCCTTAGATCGTTATCCATGTGTGTTGTGTCTGTGGTTGCCATGGATTTAGTTTTATTCCTAGGACTTTTTAAACTGATTGGTCTGCTCCAAAACACTCTTGGCTGTTGTTTTATTTTTAACAAGATTATCTATTTTTGCAGTCTCAGAATTATGGCTTTCTTTGTAACTTAATTGAAAATAAGATCATTGGAGGGAAAACAGATCTTCATTGTATTAAAATCTGTCTGCAGGCTCTAGGTTACTTAGGACAAGCCTGGCATGGAGTAACAACACTGTTTCATCAGCATTAATGCCTAGAGGAAGAGCCACTTTTGGATGGAAGATTATTAACATAAATAAAAAATAAGAAGGTACATGGCTCTCTTACTGTTGTTACCCTTCTGGCCACTAACTTGCTGTAGGACCTTCTATAAATGAGTAAAACTTTATCCTCATCGGCCAAATCTGGCACAAAATTCTCCAAAGATACCCTTCCAGATTCAGATACCAAGTAATCTGGAAGGATTTTCATGAAGAAAAAAAATTCAGCCAATTAATGAGGTAACATGAAATGATTCTCAAATATAAGAGTGCTTTCAACCTTGCTCCCAGGTCTGTCACCTTAGTCCGTTTACTGAAGAATGAGTCCTTGTGGATCTCTTGTTTTGCTGTCTGAAACGACCTATTCTTTAGCTCTTCCAGCTCTTGATTTGGTCACATCGAGAGACAGAAGCTTCCTGTGCTCTTGCCATCAGCCGGATCTCAGCAGCTTTCTGCTTCCCTTAAGGAGCCCACCTCTGCCTCTTTCCTTCTCATTTCCAAAGAGTAGATAACCCCTCTCCTGTCCGAGGTGTTCCTCTCCCTGTGCTCTGAATTTCATCACTTGTCAGCCCCTCTCCACCTTGATCAAATTAAAAACATGTGCAAGTCTCTTTCATATAAATAAAAATAACAGCAACGATCTTCCTTTTACTTTTAATCTTGTTAGTAATCTTTCTCCCCTTCTCTCCTGGCCTTAGAGTTCTGCAGGGTATAACTGTCCTCTTTAGGTCTTCATTTCCCACTCACTCCCCAGCCCACCACAATCTGGTTTCCATTCCAGTATTTTACTGAGATGCTCTTTTCCAAGGTCACCAGTGATGATACAGGTCAAATCTAGCTCTTTCTTACTTGACCTCTTTGTAGCATTTGCCACTGGTAACAACTTCTTTAACAATTTTAAAAGTATTTTTGCTTAAAATAATGCCTATAGAACAAAGCCCTTATAATGAAAAGCAATAATCACCAGTTCTCCTCTGTCTATTCTGCTTTCTACATCCCAGCTTGGGTTGACTATATTTTCACTTTGACACTGTCAAGGTCAATCACATTTTTGTCTATTCACTAATCAAATTAAATTTTCTATGCTCTGTTTGCAGATTGATTGCAGTTGTTGAAAATTGATATTCAGCTTTTGCGTTATTATAATTAGGGAAATATTCACTGGTGGCTATTTCCTTCTCTGTTTCCAATGTCATGGTCCTATTTACTCAAAAGAGATGTTCAAATGGATAAACCTTTCTTGGATGCCATGAGTTGCTCAAAATCATGCCTGGTTTAGTTTGCCTCAGGAGCCCTGGTGGTGCAACAGTTAAGCACTCAACTGCTAACCAAAAGGTTGGTGGTTCCAACCCACCTAGTGGCTCCAGGGGAGAAAGACCTGGCGATCTGCTCCCATAAAGATTAGAGCCTAGAAAACCCTATAAGGCAGTTCTACTCTGTCACACGAGGTCGCTCTGAGTTGAAAATCGACCTGACGGTGCCCAACAACAATAACAACATAGATTTGAAGTAGCTTTTTGTCCTTCCTTGAGTTTCTGACACTTTTTTTTAAAAGATAGAAATAGATAGCTACCATTGAGTCAGCTCTGACTCATGACAACCATATGTACAGTAGAATGAACTGTTGGCCCGATCTTGCATCATCCTCACAATTACCGAAATGTATGAGTCCATTGTTGGGGCTGTCATGCCAGTCCATCTCACCGAGGGTCTCCCATGCCCTCACTGGCCCTCTGCTTCACCAAATGTGATGTCCTCCTCCAGCGATGGATCCTGA